TTAACCTGTTCTTTCAGGTCTCCCAATGGTGCACTCATCACCACTGTAACTGAGTCCATCCACCTTGCTGTTAGTCATCCTCTTCTTCTATTTCCTTCCACCTTTCCCAGCATTAGAGCCTTTTCCAGACAGCTGGGTCTTCACATAAAAAGTCCTTAGTATGATAATTTCAGCTTGGTCATTTGTGCCTCAAGTGAGAACTCTGAGTTGATTTGTTCAATGATCCATCGGTTCATCAATACTTATATATATATTTCCCTAATTAATTATTCTAACAACAAATGCTACTGGAATTCCAAGTCACCATCCAGCCATCCAATCCACCAGGGTAGATTAGCCAATGATCTCATCCTGGATTAGCTGGTTAAAAATACCTTGCTCTCTGTGAGTAAAACGGCCACAAAAATGAAGACTCAACTCCAAATTTTCCATGGTAAGAGGGCAGGTAAGCAGAAGTTTCTGAAATGTAAGTACAGGAAAGTAATCAGAAGCAGCTGCCACTGTTCTACTGCTATTGCTCACCTAATTTTCTCAGCTATGAAGGGCAGAAAAAGTGAGCAGAGGAAAAAGAGATGGCCACTGCTTCCTTTTGCAAGTTATTTTGGTTTTTCAGTCCCAGTATATTTTGAGGACACCAGAGAGAGGAAAATTGGCCTTGATGGTGCTGCACCAGCCAGGAGAAAAGTAAATGAGGTAGCTACTCCTGACACATGTGGTGGTAGAGAGGCCCAGACAAGGAAACAGACTGACATGATACTGCTCTGCAGACAAGGCCAGCAGCCCAAATTGTTAGGCAGCACTAGGCTGCCTAACAAAAGACAATACATGATCCTCTTCCTGTGTCCCTTCAGTGATGTGGCTGGAAGATGGAGCTCATTGAGAGAAGAAAACAGAGACACCATCAAAGCAGATTGCCAAAGGCCATCCATAATTTGTAATGAGGACTGCCCAACCTCCCCATCAACATAGCTATTGGTGAAGAGTTTTAACTCTAAAACAATAATTTTACGTGGTTCCAGCTGTGTTCATCTGTTACAGCAACAACAAAAAGTTTTGTGGCACTCTAAAGACTCATGTTAATAATCACATTTTCTTAAAACACTGAGAAATCATGGAACCCACTCTGACAATTAAAGTATCAGAGCCTTAGTTATCACAGCATCGCAACAACATTAGCCCTTATCTCCATGCAACTCAACAGATCCTGGCCTTGGCTCACTTTTTCTCTACCACAAAACCCAGAAGAACAAAGAGAGCCAGGGCTGATCACAGTAGACATGGAGTCTACTAATAACTAACTTTATTAGGGGATAATCAGTGGCTCCCTTCATCAGATAGGCTCTTGGTCTCAAAGGTGTTACAAGACAGTGATTCTACCTGAGGGAACCAAAATGCCTATATCTTGAGGGTTTTTGCTTGTTTCGAAACAGCTGACCGGTGTTAATCTTTCTCGCAGCCCTAAGAGGGCAGGAAAATGTAAGTGTGGGCGTGGGTGTCACTCGCCAGGGCATATTACGCAGGACCCCACCCACTTCAAGGTAAGAATTAGTATATATCTCAGTTATCTGCGCTGTTTGCAGCTCACCCCACCCAGGCGGTGGCAGTAGCAAGCCCTAACCGTCCCACAAGCTGGCACAGCACCTAAAGACTGCACGCATTCAAGGGCCACGCTTCAGTTGCGAGAGCGCCGCCGACTGCGCGGGCTGAAGGAAAGTCAAAGCGGAAGCGCAGGTTTTCGTACGTAGCCGCGGCGGTTTCGATCAAACCCGCCGTACAGCGCGCCGAGCCGGGCACCACGAGGGGGTCTCGCCACGTGGGACAGAGCGAAGCCGAGAGACCCTCGCTCTTTTGGCCGCTGCTGTTAGTGCCGCCGCCGCTGGCAGCCAGCTGGAAAACGCTCCGCATGCGCCGCTCGAGGAGGCGAGTGGGAGAAGAGAAGGGCTCCAAATTCAAACGACGGATGCCGCGAGGAAACCGTAGGAGTAGCCCGAAGCAAACTGCTCGAGGAGCAGAGCAATAACAGGGACAAGAAAGAAACGGCGGTGGGAGGAGAGGAAAATAAAAATAGGAGTTGGGGGAGGAGGAAGGGGTGGGAAGCAGAGGCCGGGTGAGGAAAGAGAGCGCGCAAGCGAGGATCCCTGGCATTCTCTGCAGACGGAGGGTCGATCTCTTCCTCGCTTATTGCTTTCCTGCCGGGGCACCCCCGAGTCGTTTCCTCTCCCTTCCGCTGAAGCTGAGGCTACCTACTGTGCACCGCCATGGTAGACAGGGGTCCTCTGTTGACGTCGGCTATTATCTTCTACCTGTCCATCGGAGCAGCTATCTTCGAAGTACTGGAGCATCCTTATTTGCGAGAGGCGGCCGAGGGCTATAAGCTGAAGAAGACGGAGCTCCTGAAAGAGTTTCCCTGCCTGGGCCAGGAAGGACTAGATAAAATCCTGCGGGTGAGTTTAAAATAAAGTTCCTTCCCGCCTTCTCTTCCGACTCGAACAAAATGGGTTGTCTGCTTTCAGAGTGCATTGCTCCTGGTTGCAGATTCTCAAAGGGCACTCGTTACATTGTAAGATTAAGCAAATGGCACCTGCAGGAATTCAGATATGCACCCATTCTCATAGCTGTCTTACCTTGCAATATGAAAAAGAGGGATATTGTCCCCTGAATGAGATATGATTGTATTTCTCTCGGAGGTAGGAGCCAGATCTTGGAACACAGTAAAAACATTGTTCAACTCCTGAGGGCCTATTGCTAGGTATGTGCCTCTTCCTGCACTGAATTGCACAAACTTAACAGGGCATGAGTAACATTCAGAGTCACTGAACTCTGCTATAGTGGAAAGTATGGGTTTGCAGAACAAATATCGATCTCTGAAATTGTAGTTAAAAACAGATTGCTTCAGAAGTGTCCACATTCACCTGGCTTGTTCCTTATATTGTGAAAACCAAGCTGGTCATATTTTAGTAGAAGTTGTTATGCTTTGCCAGGGACAGACTTGGTACCATGTTGGAGCGTTTATCTCAATAGCAGGTGCTTTGCTTGCCGTTTCTTTTCTTTCAAATGCTGTGCATTAATGCTATCAAAATTTACCATGTGAGCAGATGAAGAGAATTGTATTTATGTCTCTAACGTGCAAGGGAGGCCAACTCTGTAATCAAATTGTAGTCTTTAAGTTTCCTTGCAGTTCTTGAATGGTGGCTTTTAAGATTCTTGCCAAAAGGAAAAGGTTATATGTCAGTAGGCAGGTAAAAAATTTTGTTGAATAGATACGGGCAGCATAACCCCTGGAATAGTTGGTACATCTCTGGTTCTCAAAAGGTCAAAGGTGAGCTGTAAAATAATTTACTGGAAATTATCCTCCATGTGGCACATGAGTTATGCAACTTCTTGTTCCTTTAACTTGTTTTATTTTCAAAAACCCTTACTTAGATACAGTGATACATCTAAAGTGAGTAGAGACGCAGTAGACCTCAGGGAATTTAGACTGCAAGAACCCCACTGACTGGACTTCATAAGGATCTGAAAAACAAAGGAGGGTGCTGAATGCTTACTTCCCTTGGACCTTTGTTTTGCCTGCCTCTTCTTATCTATCTGTTAAGCTCCAGTAAGTGGGAAAGTTTGTCTGGCACTTGTGTTAAGCTCTGTCATGCACAGAGGCCAGAGAGTACAATAAAGAATGCAGTATATTTGTTATGACTGAGTGAGTCACGGTTTAGGCCGGGTCCTTGCTGCACTTCTAGCCTTTTGCCTTTAGCATAGAAGTGTTAGCCTCTTCTGCAGCAAGAGTCTTGTGGCTCCCTTTAAATGAATGTTTAGCATATGGTTTTCTGGATTACAATCCAATTCTTGTAATGCAAATCTTTCATTTTTTAAAAGATGTTATGCTCCTTAAGGAAAAGACACTAACTTTTTTTCCTGTAAAAGAATGGCATGTTAGATATTGGCATACTGTATGTATATGTATGGATTACATAGTTATAGAAAAAAAATATTGTGCTCACTAGTGCACTATGTGCCATATATTTCATGGCATCAAAACAGTTTTGTGACACGTTGGCGGACAATTCTAGAAGCTCTAATCCCAACACTCTAGGAGTTGGTGTGTTTGAGGAAGGCAGACTCAAGCTGTCCTTAAATGAATGTTCCAAAATAAAAATATAGTTTCAGGGGCAATCTTCCACCTGTGTTTTAGCATTTTTGAGCTTCTGTGGCAGAGGAGTACAACCTGACCGAGTTACTTGGTTCAGCCAAGGCTGGATGTTTGGAGTTTTATATGTTTCCCTCTTTCCACTCTTGTCTAAGATGCAGTAGATTCACCGTTTGAATGAGGATTTCTAGAAGGAAGATGAGGAAGGACTTCAGATAGTTTTGTCATAATGCAGTCATATGTCACATTTTGCATTATATATGTGGCATCTTTCACCTTACAGAGTTTTTTATAATCCTTAAATTGTCTTCATTGTGGCTTATATCATGATGGCCATTAATACACCCTATTTAAACTGAGCGAATTGAAACTGGGAGAAATTAGTCCATAAGTCACCTGATGAACCTGTGATGTAATCTAAGTAAATCTGTATGTCATAATCTGGGAGAACTGAGCTGCCTATTTAGCATGATGTGGGAGCTCTGTTTCAGTCTATAAGACGAGTTAGATGACTTGGTAATTCCTCATTCTTCAAATTATTCTACAACTTGATTTTCCTCTTGTCCATTTGTAATTGAAAAAGCCCCTTATTTAGGACAGTGAAGTTCTTAAACTTTAATGCATTAAACAGTGCTGCTCTGTCTGCTTGTTCTTTATAGACTTGTATTTTCTTGTCTTACACCCACGTGGGAGGATGCTTGGCAGACTTCCAAATTAAAACTCTTCTACCACATAACCTGCTGAAGTGATTTGGGCACATATGCTGAACCATTCACACAGGTGATGGCTATTTCAGAGTTTTCAGGAAAGTTGCTTGCTCTGTGTAAGAGGCACGTTTATGCATTTTAAAATGTAAATATTTACCTGAGAAGCAAGAAACGCTTCAGAAACCTCTACTTCTTAGCATGTCCTCTATCTTAACTGCCGTTTCACAGACCATCTAAAACATACCAAGGAAGTTGGGTGAAAGATTCCTGAAGTAAAGGTTCAGAATCACTGATCTTACATCTGGTTAGTCTGTTGTTAGAACGTTGCATAGTTCTGATTTAAGTGAAGTGTCCGTATCACTTAATTGCACGGAATGATCATGTAAGGCTTTCAAACTTGTGTTACAAGTATGCTTTTTCTGATACCAGAGTATGTTTTTTGATTTGATAAGTCCTGAGTTTTCTTACGTTTTTTTTGCAGTTCAACTTGATCATTTGCTTTCCATTTCCATTAATGAAAATTTTGAACCCTTTCTATTTGAGCACCTAGAACTTCTAGTTTTTTTTAATTCTTAAGTGAATCCAGAAGTTCTGCTAGTATGACTATCTCCTTTTCCCTTTGCTCAAATTGTGCCACACCCATGACTGAATCCCTTAGTACAGGGTTCCTCAACCTTAGCAACTTTAAGATGGGTGGACTTCAACTCCCAGAATTCCCCAGCCA